TGGCCTTGAACTCACAGAGATCCACCTTCCTCTGTGAGTGCTGGGATTAAATGCGCGCACCACCATGCCCAGCTGGTTATAATAATTCTTAAGTTTTTTTAAACAACCTTCTTCTGGTCTGGAGAGATGGTTCAGTGGTTAAGATCAGTGGCTGCTCTTACAGAAGACTCAGGTTGGGTTCCCAGGACCCACAAAGTGGCTAACAACCATCTGAAATTCCAGTTCCAGGGGAGCTGACACCCTCTTCTGGCCTCCTGAGGCATTGCTTGCACAGGTGCACTTACACACATGAAGGTGAAACACTCATACACATAAAAAAAAAAACAAACAAAAAACAAACTTCTGAGGCTGGCAAGGTAGCTGAATGGGCAAAGGCACTCACCACCAATCCTGTCAACCCGAATTTGATTCCTGGAACCTACACAGTGGAACAAAAGAACTGACCTTGGAAGGTGTCCTCTGACCTGTACACATATGCAATAAATTAAAAAAAATAAACAAAAACCCTTTTTTGTATTTTCTGTGGTTCAGCACACAAAAGGCTTATTATTAAAATGAGTTATTTTCAACATTTATTCTAAATGTTAGGACAGTGGGAAAATTTAGGACAGTGGGAAAATGTTAAGTAGGTACTAGTGAAGTACTTACCCACTTCCTCTTTTTTATATGCATTTCCTTCCTCTTTGTAGGAAACTCACATCTGATTCTCTCTCACCACTACTAGAGTGTTACTACTGGTAATTGAACAGAACTGGCAAAAAATACAAAATTAATCCTTTGTTCAAATGCTATCTTATAGCTTTCAAATTCATTTAGAGGAAAACACTGGGATCTTTTTTGGGGGGGTGTTAATTATTGTTACCAGTATTACTAAGAATGTTTTGCCTAATATGTAGCTTTAATTTCCTAAGTCCTTTAAAGATTCTAGTGAGTTAGCTTACCCTTACTTCCACTGTAATTATCTAGCCATTCTCAAATTATACATTGCTGGGTGTTAAATATCTGTATGTAGACAGGGACATCTCTCAGAATTTTTTTTATTATATGTCTGAATGTCTGTTTATGTGTGTGTGAGTGCTCTCTGAGGTCAGAAGAGGGTGCTGAGTCCCCTAGTGTTGGAGTTACAGGAGGTTGTGAGCTGCCTGATATGGATGTTAGAAACTGAACTCAGGTCCTCTCCAAGAGCAGCAACTGTTCTTAACTGCTGAGCAATCTCTCCAGCCCCCAGAACACTGTTTTGATTAGGATGTACTTGAGTATCAGAATAGTTATTTGGTTGGTCATTTTGTTATTGCTTTCTGTTTTTGTTTTTTTTTTTTCCTTCGGTCTTTTTGAGACAGAGTCTTTTTGTAGCCCCAGCTGGCCTGGCACTTGCTATGTAGACCAGGCTGGCCCTGCACTCACAGAAATCCTCCTGCCTCTGCCTCCAGAGTGCTGGGATTAAAGGCATGGACTACCATGCCCAGCTGTTTTGTTTTTTGAGACAGGGTCTTATATATAGCTCAGGCTGGTCTGGAAATGGATATGTAGCTGAGAATGACCTTGAACAACTGATCTTCCTAGCTCTACCTCCTAAGTGCTGGGATTACAGGTATAGGCCACACACCCAACACCAGAATAGTTACTGATCAAGAAGTCTACAAAGGAAAGCTAATTAGAACAACAAACTAGTAGCTCAGTAAAGAGTAGAAAATAGAAGTACCATACTAATAAACAAGTAAGCAAAACTGAGCTTGAGTTAAGAAATATAAACTACACACCAGTCACCCAGGCTTTAAACCTTTGTATGGATAACCATTGTCACAGGCATGTAACTATAGTTAAAGCAAGTTTCCTAAGTACAACCTAGCATTTGAAGTGAGGTAGCTGGCCAACTCTTCAATTTGAAACTGAACAAACTACATGATTAATAAAATTACTTTCAGCATGACAAGTAGACTTTAGATTTTCTACATCATCAAACTTGAGTACTGTGTCAATTTTAAGTTATAGAGAGGATGTCTGATATTCCACTGTACATGATGACTTCTGATACAAACCAGAAGGCAGGTTCTTAACCTAGCTTAAAATTCTCATCAGACATAATCATCCTCCTCACTGTCTTCAATAATATGCTTAATTTAACTCAGACAATGAAGAAATACTACTTCATATTTTGCTACTTCAACTCCCAATTTTTAAAAGGGCTTAATCTACAACAAACTCTGTGATAGAATAAAAAAGTTTATTGTCCTAGGGAGAGGTCAGACCTGAAACTTTAGGACAAAAATTTTATTATTTCTATTATAATTATTTTGTATTTTGAAATAGGGCCTTGCTATGTAGACCACACTGGCCTTGAATTTTCAGTGATCCTCCTGCCTCTGCCTCCCAAGTGCAGGGATTACAGGTGTAAGCAAACACTCCAGGAAAGAACAAAGTTTTAAAAGTTCCTGTGTAATAGTACTATATATTTTATAGTTATTTTATTCTTCTCTGATATTTTGTAATAATATCTCATGAGATAAATTTCAATAGTAGTCCCTTTTCTTTTTGTTTTTTTTGAGACAGGGTCTCCCTGTAGCCCCAGCTGGCCTGGAACTTGCTAGGTAGACCAGGCTGACCTTCAACTCTCAGAAAACTGCCTGCCACTTCCTCCTGAGTGCTGGGACTAAAGGCATGCATCAGCCACCACACCCAGCATACGCCCATCTTTTAAGAGGAGCAAGTGTCACAAAGGGAGAAAATCTGCTCCCAAATCTACTGTAAATCAATTGGGTACCAGGACTATCTGTGTATAGAGATCATCTTGAGGCACTGATTGTTTGAGAAAGTAATAATGCCTACTGTTATCTTGCAACTGAACTCTTGAAGGGTTTTTGCTCCTCACAGCTGAGCTCTTGGTTTAGATTCACTTCCCTTTATGATAATCTAACTCCAAACTCACACTGTGCAGGATGACTTATTTTGTCTGAAGACAACCAGCTCTTTACAATGAACTAAAGATCAGGAATTAAAGGTTTTGACATTCCCAAACCCCTGATTCATGGGGTTTTAGTAATGCAAGTAATCTGAGGTCTTAAATTAACTGCCTCATAGAGAACTGGGAAGGGCAGTGTTGTGAGTAATGCTGCCACGCTGCTGATCTGGTCTGCCAGGAAAGGTAAGTAGAGAAACACCTTTCTCTGGCAGGACATGTAACAATCAGTTGGCTTCAGGATCTGAAATATTTTTGCTGGCCCTAAATTATCTAATTGGTACCTTGAGTCTAATCTAATCCAAATAGTTATTTTTCAATGCTATTTCCTTATTGAGAAACTTAATACTGTGAGGTTTTTTTTTTTTTTCAGGGTGAGGACTAATACAAACGAGTTAAAAATTCGAGGAAATCCAGGTGTGGTGGCACATACTTATAATCTGGAGGCAGAGGTAGGAGGATTGTGACAAGTCCCAAACTAGCTAACAGGCTAGGGTTACATACTGAGAACTAATCTCACCTAAACAAAACGAGTCAAATAGTAAGGAAATGGGAAAAAATTCCATTGTACTTATAAACCATTTTGTTTACTAACTTATTACATTTGAGTCGTTTAAATCTTTTGACTATTGTAGATACTACAGCTCTAAACATGAGTGTACAAATAGCTGTTCACACATTCCTTTAAAAAAATTTGGGGGTATATACTCAAAGTGGAATAGGTGGATCATACGGGAAACTCTGACATATGTTACAACAGTGAAACATGTTAAGTGAACTAAGCCAGTCATAAAAGGAGAAATAAAGTTCCATTCACAGCAGATGACAGTAACTGGTGTGAGGAAGAAATGGAGAGTTTATTAGTGTTTGGTGGATAGTCAGATGAGGTAGTTTTGGTGGATAGTCAGATGAGGTAGTCCTGGACATAAACAGCAAGGACTGAACGATGTAAATGTACTTAAAGCCACTGAATTCACATTTAAAATGGTTTAAGTGGTAAATTTTGTTACACATATTTTACTACTCCAAACTCTTCTTTTTAAAGCAAGTTACTCTGTCTTGGAAATGTCAAATTTCTAAGGGGGGCAACTCTTGGGTTTGGAAGCTACACAAGGAACTTGTCCACGAAGGAGGCTGGGCCGGGTGTTTGTATACGCTTGCTTGTATAACCGACTCTTGGGAGGCTGAGGCAGGAAGATCACAAGTTCGAGGCCAATCTGGGCTACAAAACAAAACCCTCCATCAAAAACAAAACCCAACCCAACCAAGAGCTTGGAAGGGGGATGCTCGGGGCGGAGGGGGGAGGAGGTGAGCAGAGATGGCCAGGCCGGAGACTGTGAAAGGGCAGCGAAGGCAGCAGGAGGGTGAACCGGAAGGTGCAGAAACCGAACACTCAATTTTGTTACAAGGTTTTCGATCCTTAGGGTCCCTCTAATGGAGGAATAAGACGCCCCAGAAAAACCTTGAGATACTCTTTATCTTTCACCACTTCTGCCAGTAAAAAGTCCCCTGAACCTTGGCGCGTTCCCCCGCCCGCTCCTCTCCCTCCCGCACCGCATTCCTCAGACCTCCGTTTCTGAACATTCCCCGAGTCTTCCAAAGTAGATCTCGGGCACCGCAACACCAACCGTCATTGCTCTGGCCCTGCCCGTCGAACGACAGAACGTGGAGGCGGGAAGGACCGTCCTCCGATGCCCCGGAAGTCGCGGCCCTAGTCGCTAGCCTGAGTGCCGCGACGCGCCTCGAGGTCTGGGATTGGCGGGAAGGTGAGGATGACGCACTACGTGCGGCGGGGAGGCCCCGCCCCTGCGCTCGGGGCGCTGTTCCGTGGGGTGGGGCGGAGCGCGGCTGCGGGCGGCCATTGCCCGGAACAGTCGCGGGCCTCGGGTCAGGTGACCCTCGGCGGGGGCTAGCGGGAGGGGGGCCGAGGGGAGGGGAGGAGGCGTGAGGAGAGAGAAGGGAGGAGAGAGGGGAAGGGCGGAGTAGGAGGGAGGGGAAGGGGGCGGGGTGGGAGCGGTCATGTGACTCGGCATGGAGGAGGCGGTGGCAGCAGTCGGGAGGAGTCGCCGGGGCCGAAGCCGCACTTGTTAGTGTTGGGGGAGGAGGGGGCCGGGGACGCGGACACCTTCAGCCGGGGCCGCCGCGGAGAAGGCGGGAGGGGGTTGGGGGCGAGACCAGGCTCCGACCCCCAGCCGAGGGGATGAGGGGAACATGGGCGCCAAGGAGTCACGGATCGGATTCCTCAGCTACGAGGAGGCACTGAGGAGAGGTGAGGGGGAGGGGTCTGTGCGAGCTGCGGGGAGGCCAGCGCTGGGCGCCCTGGGGGTGGGTGACCGTGAGGGAGGGGAGCAGAGTTGTCGGACGCCTAGCGGAAGGAAAGGAGGCCCGCCGTGGGAATATTGGGGGAGGGCGAGCGGGTGGGGAGCGGTGTTTGCGAATGGGGATCCAGCTTTCCTGGAGACTGGGGTCAATCGGGCGCTGGCAGGGCATCGCCGGTGCTCTCTAGTGGCGTTGCTACCTTGTCTGGGTCCAAGGCAGCCCTCCTGCCCATCTCTTCTTGGATGGGCTCAGCCCTTCCAGCCCCCCCTCACCCTTCCCTGCCATTTTCTCATATCACTCCGTTAAAAACAAAAACAAACCAACATCCTAAGCTGGTTCCTGACAGCTTTGGTTGGAGAAGAGGCGGCAGCAAAGCGTTCTTCTCGGAGAGTCCCTGATTTTTCCCAGGGTCTTTGCCACTCTTTAGGGCGATGACCATCCATTTACTCCTGCCACCCCTCATCCTTTGAGCGGCTGACTTTGATAAGAACGACCTGAAATGTGTTTAAGGTGAGATGAGGCTAGACAGCTGGTGTTGCCAGAAGACTTGGTCTTGGGTTTTGTCTCCTCAGTCGGTGATGAGAGGGTTTTAATGCACTTGATTCCCAATTCCCACCCTCTCCCATAAAATGGCATTCGGAAACCCAGCATTGTGATACTGTGTTATAGCTCCCTTTAGAGAGTGGCCTTCCTGCCAGACCTAGCCTGCTGCTGCTATTGGCTCTGATACACTGTGTGTTGTTAACTGCCCCAAACCCCTACCACTTACTCTGACACCATTGCCTGTGATCACTAAAGCACACGTTAACTGGAAGTGTCTTGCACAGTTTATGGCCGGAATGTGACTTAATTTTTCATGACTGGAATTTGAGTGTGTATCTGTGTGGTGCTTGTATTTCTCTTTGACGTTTAATGGATTTTCTTGGTGAGAAGTGAAAAAAAGCATTAAACAGATTAGGAGCCAGACATTATTGGTAATGGCTTTCTAAGTCAAAAAACCAGCTATGCTTCAGGGGTTTTAGTAGCTTAGGATAGAAAATGAACATTGATGAAAGGCATTCAAAATGAGGATTTAGGCATGAGCTCCAGTTCATATACGAAGGATTAAGTTCAGTGGACTCAGTACCTACCTGATAGTAAGATGCAGAATTTTAGTTGCATTGATTGTGGACTCAGCAGAATAGCAAAAATACACCTTTTAAATGGTGTCGCCCTTCCCCCAACAGTATGAGAATTGTTCTTAAGCACAATTGTACTTGAACTTTTTCTCTCTGTTTCAATATGAGAAATATTCCAAATTCTTGATGTATTTCCAGCCCTATTAGACCGGTCATTTCTCAGATGCTGTTGAGCTTCACAGGTCTGGCCTTAATTGAACAATGCCTTACATGGCGTAAAAGAGGACACAGTCAAATTGATTAACATTTTCAAGGTTTTGAAGTGTTAAGTTTGAGGGTGTGAATACCTTGTGTTAAATTCTAAAATTAAACGTTTATTCCAGCTCTTGCTAAGATTGTACATTTTAAAACATAAATGAAATTGATGCATTTAAAAATGATCTGATGAAAGGTTTTCCTTTAATTTGTTATTAGATATGCATATAGAATTTTAAAATGTATATTTTGGAACTGAAAAGATGGCTCAGAGGTTAAAGAGCACTGACTGCTCTTGCAGAGAACCTGGGTTCGATTCCCAGTACCCACATGGCAGCTACAACTGTCCGTAGCTCCAGTTCCAGGGGATCCTACGCCTCCTTCTGACGTTCTTGAGTGTTGCACAACATGGGTACACTTATACATATGCAGGCAATACACTCATAAAATAAACATAATAAATATTAAAAAGTAAATAAATGTGTATTTTAAGGAGGTAGCAAAATGTATATTAAAATCTTAATAAAGTCTAGGTTGAATGCATTTGTTTTTGTCAGTTTTGCTACAGGGAAAATTAAAAGAGGGACAAGTTGATAAAATATCATTTCTGAATCTAAACCTTTTTAAAAAGTACATTTAGCCATGATATTATTTACTCAAATGACAGACTTCAGTTTAGAATTTTTTTAGTAAACCAACAGATTTTATAGACATTTTGCTGGAGCTATAAATGGTTTTCAAACCTTTTGGGGAGAACTGAATAGATACTAATACCTGCATTAGTTTCACTTGCCTATTTATATTGTATAAGGTGAATGGGGGGAGATAGGATTTGATAAACAAATTACTCCAGTGTGTTATATGGATCATTGTATGAGTGAAAAACAAGTTTGGTAAAACTACCGTTTGATCCTTTGCCTATCCATAATTACCCAGCATTAAAAGAAGTGTGACTATATTACCACAAACAAGAAATTGGAGGAAGTTTAGCTAAGTGGGGCCTTTGAAATGAAGTATTATGTTAATGACAGATAACACTGGATCTGAGTGAATGGACAGTCTAGTTTACATTTAAGAAGCACTTGAAATTGGGATGATTGAGTTTATATCCTTTTTTGGCTAGACTATATTCTAGTTATTTAAACTTTACATTTTTCAAGCATTTTTAAGGGAGTTATAATATGGTAGCTTTTATTTGGGGCTTATATCTTAAATTTTTATTTATTTATTTATTTATTTATTTATTTATTTATTTTTGAGACGGGTTCTCCCTGTAAACAGCTGTATATGTAGACCAGGCTGGCCTCCATTACACAGAGATCCACCAGCCTCTACCTTCCAGGTATTGGGATTAAAGGTGAGCACAACCACACCTGGCTTGTTTTTATTTGTTATGTTTGTGTTTTGCCTGCATGTAAGTGCATGTGTGTGTGCAGTGTGGCAGAGGGCAAAAGAAGGCATTGGGTCTCCTGGAACTAAAGTTAGGGATATTAGCTGCCATGTGGGTTCTGGAACCGAACCCAGCTTCTCTGGAAGAGCAGTAATTGTTTTTAACTTCTGAGCCATTTCTCCATCCCCAGGCTTGTATCCTAAATATCTTGAGTAAAACACAAGAGGCTTGACTTCTTATTAATTTTTTAAATTACATTTGTTAATGTGTATATTTATGTGTATGCGTAAGTGGGGTGCATTCCATAGCATGGAGGTCAAGGAACAATTTGTGGGAGTCAATTCCTCATATTCTTTCATGTCCCAGGGATTGAACTCAGGTCAGCAGGCTTGATAGCAAGCACTTTAACCTCTGAGCCTCTCACTGACCCAGCTTGACTTTTTAAAGAATATTTTATTATTTTTATTTTATGTTTATGCATGTATTGCCTGCTTGTAGTTAAGTGCACCTGTGCTGTGCTGGCAGAGGACAGAAGAGCTGTTGGATCCCCTGTAACTGGAGTTAAGCACAGTTGTTAGCTGCTATGTGGGTGCTGGGATTTGAACCTGGGTCTTCTGCAAGAACAGCTAGAGTTCTTAGCCGCCGAGCCATCTCTTCAGCTTGCAGCTTGACTTTTTTTAAAGACTGCATTTATTTATTTTATAGGGAAGTATGCCTATGTTCTTGGATACTGAGAATTTTAGTAGCCATGTGTGCCATATTGCCTCAGTTTGTAGTGTGTTTATATAATATATACATATATACACATGAATACATCTATAAGTACACCCAGATTGATAGATAATCAGTTTTGCCTTGAATGTACAGATGTCTGCTTGCCTCTGCCTCCTGAGTGCTAGGATTACAGGTGTGCATCACCAGGCCTGGCTTGTAATTCCTATATTCTTGTGTGGATGTGTATTTATGGGTGCATGTCCATGTGCACACTTCCATGTGGAAACCAGAAGACAAACTCGGGTGTGATTATTCCTTAGGTGCCATCATCTACCTTGTTTGTATTAGATAACGTCTCTGGCTGGCTTGGGGCTCAGTGATTCAGGCTAGCCATCAAGTCCCAAGGATCTGCCTATCTTGTCTCCACAGCACTGAGATTACATGTACAGGTTACCACACCCAGCTTTTTCACATGAGTTTTGGGAAGGGGTACTGTATTAACTGAACTAGGTCCCCAGCCCTTGTAGTTGTATATTCTATGTTTCTTTTGGTCTTTTTTGGGGGGACAAGGTCTCCCTGTAACCCCAGCAGGCCTGGAACTCACCATGTAGAGCAGGCTGGCCTCGAACTCACAGAGATCTGCCTGCTTCTGCCTCCCAAGTTCTGGGATTAAAGGAGTGCACCACCACGCCTGGTGTATACTTAGTCCTCAAAAATGTATACTTAGTCCTCAGCACAGCATTTATAAATCATTGGTTTTTTGTGTTTTGTTTTTTTTTTTTTTTGGTTTTTTTGAGACAGGGTCTCCCTGTAGCCGCTGTCCTGGAACTCACTCTGCAGACCAGGCGGGCCTTGAACTCACAGAGATCTGCCTGCCTCTGCCTCCCAAGTTCTGCGATTAAAGGAGTGCACCATCACGCCTGGTGTATACTTAGTCCTCAGCACAGCATTTATAAATCATTGGTTTTTTGTGTTTTGTTTTTTTTTTTTGGTAATTTTTCTTTTTTTTTTTTTCATCCTTTCAGAAAAAGGATTATATTCTTTCCTCCATTTTAGTCAAGAATTGGCTGAATTAAAATATTCTTGACTATGTAATAGTGGATGAATTTCTTGTAATCCTTCTTCAGTCCTGGGGCCTTGTGCATCTAGGCAAGCATTCTACCCCTATGCTACATTTCCAGCCCTGGCTTTTTTGATAGAGGGTCTTACTATGTAGCTCGGGCTAGCCTTGAACTTGTTATGTAATCTACCCTGGTTTCTAGCTTTTAATTTTCCTGTCTTAACCTCATGAGTGCTAGGCTTACAAGTGTGGGCCACTACAACCAGGTGTGGGTTTACTTTTTTTTTTTATTTGAGATGGTCTCACTGTGTAGACTAGGCTGGCCCTGAACTCAGAGATCTACCTGTTTCTTTGAATGTTCCTTTGTTCAGTCACTTAGTTTCTTCTTTTTTTAAACTTTGGTTATGAATGAG